TATAAATTATACACAGTAAGAGACTAACAATAAAATTAATTATACTGCAACAAAATGTACATGAATGTGATCCTTCGCCAAATGTCTTACTGTATTAGATATTTTAACATCCTCAGCATATGATCTTTTTCTTTCTCTATTGAAAACTTTCACCTTTTTACTTAAAGGATGCACTTTCTGGCTTCCCTCTGGCTTATCTGAATTGCCAGAACACATACACTGTGATACCACCATCGTTGATCTGATCACTCTGATGCCTTGCTATGTGACTAAAGGGTTGATAGTATATACAGTGTGGATATTTTAGACAAAGGGGTGAATGATATCCTGGGTGGGATGGTGTGAGATTTTATCATTCTACTCAGAACGGTATACAGTTTAAAATATGAGACATTTATTTCTGGAATTTTCCATTTAATATCTCTTAGACAGTGGTTGATCAAGAGTAACTGAAACCACACAATGCAAAACCATAACAAGAATGGACTACTGTATCACTGACATTAATTACACCTCTCTGACTACAGGTATGATGCTAATGACTGTTGGTAATAGGACACTGAAAATACCATTGGTGTCAGGAAGGAATGAGAATTTAACTTCTCATGTACAAAATGTGTAAGCATACTAAAAAAAAAATGCCTGAGGAAAAACTACCAGAACTTTTATGCACGTAACACCTTCATATTGAGCCAGAATATGACTTTTTTTTTTAAATTAAAGAGACAGTGTCTCTGTCACCCAAGTTGGAGTTCAGTGGCACAATCATCGCTCACTGTAACCTTGAATTCCTGGGCTCAAGCAATTCTCCCGCCTCAGCTTCCCAAGTAGCTGGGACTACAGGCATGCGCCACCACACCCATCTAATTTTTTAATTTTTTGTAGAGACAGGGTCTCAGGCTGCCCAGGCTGCCCTGTTGCCCAGGCTGGCCTTGAACTCCTGGGCTCAAGCAGTCCTCCTGCTTTGGTCTCTCAAAGTACAGGGATCACAGGAGTGAGTCACTATGCCCTGCCTGCAATGAGATATTTTTAATATAGCCTCTCAGGAAATGGAAAAGACATTAATATTTGAAAGTATACACTTGTTTGGGAAATTAATAAAATGTTTCTAAGAAACAATCTAAGAAGCATTTGTTTCATAAAAAATGCACATTGTTTTTAATCACATACAACCAAACATAACTGAAAATGTACTGAGGGAGTACATTCAGTGATAACTAGAAACACCCACAGTTTGCCTGCTATGAGGAAGGTGATTGTCTCACATGGAAGGATGCGGGGAGAGCAGACACTGTATAAGTGGTAGGGGAACAAACTCCCATGCAGTTGTTTGTTTGTTTTTTAATTACACCATTGTAGGTGTCATGGTGGAATCAAGAACACATAGTCATTAATGGTATTAACAGAACAAAAACTATAGAAATTAAACCTAGAAATACAAGAAAGAAGGCAGAGCCTCAGAGAACACTGCCAACCCTGACAGTCTGGATTAGATGCCTGAGGTACACGAGAAGGCTAGAAGGAAAATCCAAACTGCAGATGGATCTTTGATGTGGAGCCTCTGGAGACATCTGTGGAAAGCTACACATACCTTTGAAATGGATGTCAAGCAGTTGGTGGTGTTTTCAGGATACTCGATTAGGAGAGAAAATAACCAGTAAAATGAGCAAAAAGCAGGCTGTCTCCCTGCATGGTGGTTCCAATACCTGCCTGATGTCTTCTTTGCATCTGCCTGGCAAATCTCATGCAAGTTAGGCTGTTATTGAATTTAAACATGGACCTATAAATGGAATAGAATCTAGGAAACTTAGTTCACAACACTACCGATATTAACATAATGCAAATCAGGAGGGCCATGTCCAACTCTAGATTTTATTGTCCTCTCACAGATGTCCCTTCTTAATTGTAAATCCCAGCCGAAAGGAATGACAAAGAACAATGGGCTAAAGGTGAAAATAATAATTTACATGAGGCTGTGTGATAAACTTTGCATACTTACCAGATTATGCCAAGTATTTAATAAAAACGAAAATGGAATAAAGTTATTCTGACAAAAAAATGAAAATTTTTCTCAAAAGAAAGGTGGAGTATATAGTAACATACTCATTACCTTCCACATGAGAACAGTAGGAAAAATCTCACAATTACCAATGTGCAAAAAAAACAGCCAGGCTCGGTGGCTCAGCCTGTAATTCCGTGGTTGGGAGGCTGAGGTGAGTGGATTGCCTGAGCCCGCGGGTTCGAGACCCGCCTGGGCAACTTGGCGAGACCTCATATCTACAATAAATAAAAATTAGCCAGGCGTGGTAGCGCACGCCTGTAGTTCTAGCTACTTGGAAGGCGGAGGTGGAAGGATCGCCAGAGCCCAGCAGGTCGAGGCTGTGGTGGCTGGGAGCAGCCACTGCACTCCAGTCTGGGTGACAGAGTGAGATGCCAACTCAAAAAAAAAAAAAAAAAACCACATTCAAATTCAAATTAATTATATATTAAAAACACACTTCAGTTGGCCATGGTGGCTCATGCCTGTAATCCCAGCACTTTGAGAGGCTGAGGTGGGAGGATTGCTTGAACCCAAGAGTTTGAGACCAGCCTAGGCAACGTAGTGAGACCCATCTCTATAAAAAATTTAGAGCCGGGCTCGGTGGCTCAGCCTGTAATCCCGCGCCTTTGGGAGGCTGAGGTGAGTGGATTGCCTGAGTCCGCGGGTTCGAGACCCGCCTGGGCAGCAAGACCTCATCTCTACAATAAATCAAAAAATTAGCCGGGCGTGGTAGCGCATGCCTGTAATTCCGGCTACTTGGAAGGCTGAGGTGGAAGGATCGCCAGAGCCCAGCAGGTCGAGGTTGCGGTGGCCGGGAGCGGCCACTGCACTCCAGTCTGGGCGACAGAGTGAGACTCCAACTCAAAAAAAAAAAAAAAAAAATTTAAAAAATTAGCCAGGTGTGGTGGTGCATGCCTGTAATCCCAGTACTCAGGAGACCGAGGCAGGAGGATCACTTGAGTCCAGGAGTGTGAGGCTTCAGTGAGCCATGATTGTGCCACTGAACTCCAACCTGGGCAACAGAAACCTTGGCTCAGAAAAACAAAACAAAAAAACACTTCAATTGACCCATGGATCTAGATGTCAAAAAGCAAAAAATGTTATTGACTTGATGAGAAAACACAATCTTTTAAACTTTCGGACTATTGCTTAAACAGAACTTAGAGAAACATCTCACTTCAAAATTTCCTTGCAAAGGTAAGAAGAATCAACCCATAGTCCAGAAATATGCTTTAAGACTGAGCCACCTGAGCCCAGGGGTTTGAGACTAGCCTGGGCAACTTGGTGAGACCTTGTCTCTACAGTAAATCAAAAAATTAGCTGGGCGTGGTGGCATGCACCTGTAGTTCCATTTATTTGGAAGGCTGAGACAGAAGGATCACCTGAGCCCAAGCAGGTGGAGGCTGCAGTGGCCATGAGCGTGCCACTGCCCTCCAGCCCAGGTGACAGAGTGAGACTCCAATAAAAAAAAAAAGAGCAATTGATAAAAGTATTTAATTTTAGTCGGGTTTGGTGGCTCAGCCTGTAATCCCGTGCCTTTGGGAGGCTGAGGTGAGTGGACTGCCTGAGCCCGCGGGTTCAAGACCTGCCTGGGCAGCGAGACTTCATCTGTACAATAAATAAAAAAAAATCAGACAGGCGTGGTAGCGCCTGTTACTTCTAGGCTACCAACATACAATGCATGTTACTGTATTGAATACTGTAGGCAACTGTAACAATCGTAAATATGTATACGCCTACACATATCTAAACATAGAAAAGGTACAGTTAAATACAGTATAAAAGATAAAATTTTATATACCTGAATAGGGCACTTACCATGAATGGAGTTTGCAGGACTTGGAGTTGCAGTTAGTGAGTGAGTGATGAGTGACTGTGAAGGCTTAGGACATTACTGTGCATTACTGGAGACTTTATAAACACTGTACACTTAGGCTACACTAAATTTATACACATTTTTTTCCTTTCTTCAATAATAAATAGACATTAGTTTACTAAAAATTTTCTTTATAAACTTTACAAAAACTTTTTGACTCTTTTGTAATAACACTTAGCTTAAAACACAAACACATAGTACAACTGTACAAGAGTACTTTATGTTATTGTTCTAAGTTGTTTTTTTTCTTTTTGAGTTGGAGTCTCACCCAGGCTGGAGTGCAGTGGCATAACAGCTACCTTAGCCTCCACCTCCTGGACTCAGGTGATCCTTCTACCTCAGCCTTCCAAGTAGCTGGGACTACAGGTGCATGCCACCATACCCAGCTAATTTTTTTGATTTATTATAAAGACGAGGTCTCACTATGTTGCCCTGGCTGGTCCTGAACTCCTAACCTTAGGCAGTCTTCTTGGCCTCTCAAAGTGCTGGGATTACAGGCGTGAGCCACTGTGCTTGGCCTTTAAAAGCTTTTTCTTTCTTTTTTTCATTGCCAGGGTTCTATGAACCTAATAAAAGTTTTTTCTGTTAAACAATTTTTTTAACTAAAATTTTATAACAATGAAAACACATTAGCCTAGGCCTAAAGGGTGAGGATCATCAATATTACTGTCTTCCACCTCCATATTTTGTCTCACTGGAAGGTCTTCAGAGGCAATAAAATGCATGATGCTGTCATCTATGATAAAATGCCATATGCAATATCTCCTGAAGGACCTGCCTGAGGTTCTTTTACAGTTAACTTATTTTTAATAAGTAAGAGTATACTCTAAAATAACATTAATAGTTTAGTAAATATATAAACCAGTAACATAGTCATTTATTATCAAGTATCACGTATTGCACATAATTGTATGTGCTGTACTTTTATACAACTGGAAGTACAGTAGTTTACACCAGTACTATCACAAACATTTGAGTAATGTGTTGTGCTAAGGTGTTGCAACCTACAAAATGACAAGGTAACAGAAATTTTTTAGCTCCATTATAACCTTAAGGGACCACTGTTTTATACAGGGTTTGTCACTGACTGAAATGTTATGTGGCACTTGACTGTACATGAATTACCTTGCATCTTGCCTTCCACATTACTTAAATTTATAGAACTTCTCGGCAGTGCAATTTTCCACAACTTTGAAAGTATTTGTTAAAACTGCAAACTTTCCCTTATTTCTAACATTTATAGGGTTTGCATCCAGTGTGCATTCTCATATGTTTTTGTAAGGATGTGGACAAACTGAAGGCTTTTCCACATTGCTTACATTCAACAGGTTTCTCTCCACTGTGAATTCTTTCATGTCTTTGAAAGGAACTATGAAGACTGAAGGATTTTCCACATTCTTTACATTTGTAGGGTTTCTCTCCAGTATGCACTCTCATGTGTCCTTGAAAGCTTGTGGGGTAAATAAAAGCTTTCCCACATTCTTTACATTCATAAGGTTTTTCCCCTGTGTGAGTCCTTTCATGTATTTGAACATAACTAGAACAACTAAAGGCTTTTCCACATTGTTTACATTCATAGGGTTTCTCTCCAGTATGAGTTCTTTCATGTGTTCGTAATGCACTAGGAAAAATGAATGCTTTCCCACATTCCGTACATTTATAAGGTCCATCTCCAGTGTGCGTTATCATGTGCCTTCGAAAGTTTTCTAGAGAAATGAAGGCTTTTGCACATTCCTTACATTCATAGGGTTTTTCTCCAGTGTGGTTTCTTTCATGTATTTGCAAATCTAGAGGATAATTGAAGGTTTTTCCACATTTTTTACATTCGTAGGGTTTTTCTCCAGTGTGTGTCCTTTCATGTATTCGAAAGTAACTGGTACGACTAAAGGCTTTCCCACATTCTTTACATTTGTAGGGTTTCTCTCCAGTATGTACTCTCAGGTGTACTCGAAAGGCTGGGCGAGCACTGAAAGATTTACCACATTCCTTACATTTATATGGTTTCTCTCCAGTATGAGTTCGTTCATGAATTTGAATGGAAGTGGAACATCTGAAGGCTTTACCACATTGTTTACATTTATAGGGTTTCTCTCCAGTGTGAATTCTTTCATGTACTCTTAAAAAACTGGGGAAAATGAATGCCTTCCCACATTCCTTACATTTATAAGGTCTGTTTCCACTGTGTGTTATCATGTGGGTGAGAACACTTGTGTGGGAAATGAAGGCTTTACCACATTCCTTACATTCATAGGGTTTCTCTCCAGTGTGAGTTCTTTCATGTATTCGAATAGAACTGGGACAGCTGAAGGCTTTCCCGCATTTTTTACATTCATAGGGCTTTTCTCCAGTATGAATCCTTTCATGTATCCGAAGGGAACTGGGACAACTGAGCACTTTACCACACTGCTTACATTCATAGGGTTTCTCTCCAATATGAGTCCGTTCATGTGTTTGAAAGGGTTGGTGATATATGAAGGTTTTTCCACATTGTTTACATTGATAAGGTTTTTCTCCAGCATGAGTCCTTTCATGTCTTTGAAAGGATTTGAGATAACTAAAGGCTTTCCCACATTCCATACATTTATATGGCTTCTCAAGTAGTTCATATCCAATGTGAGACCTCACGTGCCTAGTAAGGGATGAACGACGCAGGAAGACTTTTCCACACACGCTACATTCATAAGGTTTTACGCCAGCAGTTTTCTTGGTCAGACTGAGATTTGAACTGAGAGATTCTCCATACTGACTAACTTTTTTACTTTCACAGAGTTTCTCTACCATATGGCTTCTGTAAAAAATCAGAAGCACATTAATAGTGGTTGTTTTTTAAGAATTTTGCTTATTATTAGCTTATAGCATTAGATTCTTATCATTTTCAGGGAAACTAGCTTTTCTGCCTGAGTTTTTAAAATATATTTTTAGTCAGAGTCTCACTCTGTCACCCAGGCCGGAGTGCAGTGGCACAGTCATGTCCACCACAGCCTCCACCTGCTAGGTTCAGCTGATCCTTCTGCTTCAGCCTTCCAAGTAGCTGGAACTATAGGCGTGCACCACCACACCTGGCTAATTTTTTGATTTATTATAGAGATGAGGTCTTGCCAAGTTGCCCAGGCTGGTCTCGAACCTCTGGGCTCAGGCAATCCTCTTGTCACAGCCTCCCAAAGTGCTGGGCTTACAGGCATGAGCCAGCACACCCAGCCTGTCTGAATGTTTAAAAGTGAATATACTCAATGTTCTGCAAGAGGGCTAGTGTTACTGATAGCTATTATCAAAACAGTGACAATGATATATGTGGTTTTAAAATACTCTTTCCAAGTATGATATTTTTCAATCACTGAACACCTGTGTCGCTTAAAATATTTTTGGTAAAAGTTTTCTGATAATAAATAAATTTGAAGCTGAACTTTTTTTTTTTTTTGAGTTGGAGTCTCACTCTGTCGCCCAGACTGGAGTGCAGTGGCCACTCCCGGCCACTGCAGCCTTGACCTGCTGGGTTCTGGCGGTTCTTTCACCTCAGCCCTCCAAGTAGCTGGAATTACAGGCATGTGCTACCACACCTGGCTAATTTTTTTTTTTATTGAGTTGAAGTCTCACTCTGTCGTCCAGACTGGAGTGCAGTGGCACGCTCCTAGCCACCACAGCCTTGACCAGCTGGACTCTGGTGATCCTTCCGCTCAGCCTTCCAAGTAGCTGGAACTACAGGCGCACGCTACTACGCCCGGCTAATTTTTTGATTTATTGTAGAGATAAGGTCTCGCCAAGTTGCC